GTAGAAAATGTACACCGGCGCGACTAAATAGCCTCGAGTATCAAATCACTCATAGTGAAGGACCATTTAAGGCCTCATGCCATAAGCAATACCTCTTGGTGATGAAACTCTATCTGCAATCTAAAGACTAAAACGATTAACGTATTAGAAGATTTTAACTCGATCGACTAAACTACAAATCAATAACAACTGTGTATAAAAGGTGTTTATTTACCAATTATTAACATATTTTTTCGTCTATTTTTTTTTTTTTTTATTTTTTTAAAGTCGAAATTATAACATTTCCATTTTCATATGTTAACTATCAAATTTTAACGTTGTTGCTGCAGAACATATATATATATAATTAAAAGAACATCATTTGTGTTTTGTTAGTTGAAAGGAAGATTGAATTTGTTATTATGTGATCTTAAAAAGAAAATGGTTTTTCTTATTTCTTTGATAAAAAATACATAAATATAAATTTAAGATATTTAAGATCATAGATATTTTTTGAATAAAATTAATATTGTTCTTTGTAAATAAAATCTTTTCAAAAACATTTTCAAAGAAAATTATTTTAAAAATTATTTTAGGGAAATTGAATATATATAGAGTACATATAATTAGGTGCATGCAATCAGAAAAAAATACAATCTAATAGTTGAAGTATCACTTAACTATTTAATTATACTTTGCTAAAAAAAAAATTCTATCTTGTTACATAAGTATGTATTCATAACTTCCAAAGTACATAGTACTATATGTTATTTCAGGGTATACAGTGTTTTTCCAATCAAACTTTATCAATTTCATCTCAAAAGAAAAAAAAGTCATATGAATATATAATATTGAAAATATTATTAAAGAGTTATAATGATAAAATGAAATATGAATGATAAATAATGTCTGCTATTATTTAAAAAACTTGATTTGATATTTGAAGCAATATTTACAAGTAGTAGTTCATAATCTTTTAAAAATCTATCTACAACTTCATTTCAAAATGTCCATTATTTTTGTCAATATAAATTTGACAGCGATTGAATAGAAGATTGAATTCAAAATTGTTCGTTCAGTTGTCAGATTTTATATTATTTCAAAACAAAAATAATATACATTTTGAAATTGAATTGTAAATAAAATTAAGAAAAGATTATGATATTTTCTGATAACTAATATATGTAAATATTCCTGATCTAGTTAGATTTTATAAGTAATAATATATTATTTATTGTTCATTTCATTTTATTATAATTTTGTTATAACTTTTTAACAATATTTTCAATATTAATTTTTAATTAAAATTAAATTAATAATTTTTAATTAAATTTAAATTAATAATTAAATTTTTAACAATATTTTCATATATATATTTATATCTATATATTTTTTTTATATTTTAATAGAATATAAATAAAATTTAGCTGGAAAAATATCTTATATGTATTCCTAAACTTTCTAAGTAATTTTTCCTTAAATTAATGAAACTGTATTGAATAAAAATTTATATTACCATTATAAATATTGTAACAAAACAAAATAAATATTTCAAATGTTGCAAATAGACAGAAACTTTATAAAAACTAATATAAAATTCTTATCCAATAAAATTTTTTCAACTATTTATATTACAATAGAATATAATTTCTAAAAATTTTCTTAAAATTATTTAGAAGAATAGAAGCCAATGATTCATCGAGAAAAATAATTTCATCGATTGTAAAATCAATGTTGCCAATAATCCGCTTATTACAAGTCCGATTTTACATCCAAACGTGCACATAAACAAACCGTTATGGATTTAAAATCGAAAAAATTCTTTATTTGCAATACAATCACAAATTATGGTAATCTTATTGTATACAATACACAACTAGGTATATACTATGTACATACTAATCGTATATACACGATACATTCCATTGATCATCATCTTTTGATGAAGAACAAAAGAGGAAGACATTATCAAATTTTGATAATTCATTAAATTATCGAATTGTTCCATATTGCTATTAATTTGAGTAAATCAATTCGAATAACGATTACACTGTTTATTATTCATTGGGAAATTCACGTCATAAATATTTTTCTTTTAATAGGAAAGGTACATGTTGCAACCGAAATGTTTGAAAATTCAGGTACTTTTAGAAGCAAATAAAAGAATATTTGCTTGCCTCAGTACGTCGTTTGCACTAAGGGTCGTGACAGGTAGAAAAAAAAAAAGCATACCGTTATACTCCGTTCTCCTGCAAGAACCATGATTTCCTTCGAATGCGTTCCCTTATTACTTTTTGGCCGGTAAAATTTCCAGAAAACAAACGGAATTAATAAAAACCACTACGTTAAATATTCGTTAAATATAGATAGATATACATCATTATGAATCATCTACATAATAGATATAGATATTGAAATTTCATTTCATATAATTATTTTAAAATTATTTTATTTCGTAAAATAGAAAATTTTAAATTTAATATATTTTTATAATTAAATATATTTAAAAATTATTTAATTTTTATAAATAAATAAATATATCTACATATTATAATTATAATTATATAATTTATAATTTAATAAAATTATAAATTTCTATATATTTTCCAATAATTCTTAAGTAAAAAAAAAATATAAAAAATTTTTAAATTTCCTAGAAATATTTATCAAAATTTTTCTAATTTCTGTTACTGAACAATTTCTGATTTGTAATTTATTTGTCTTAGATTTCATTGACAAATGTTAATATATATATATGTATGTATGTATGTATAAGTGTTATAAGTATTTATATATGCATTATTTCAATTAAATAACTCATATAAACGCTATTATTTAATATGTTGTGGTGACGCCATTGAAAAACTCGATGCGTGGGAATTCATGCGTGCGTTTCGAAGTGCGACAAAAAAATCGAGTTTAGAAAAAAGATAGGGCAATTAATAAAACAAGAAAACGAAAATGATTCTATGAAAGAGAGAAAATAATAATTCCTAGGTACAATTTTGGTATAATGGAATAGTGTAAGAATAAAGATCTTTTCGCTTTCGATGCATGTTAAAATACTATAAGTCCTTATTTATATTCCACGCTATGTATACACGATATATACAACTTTTATGCACGATTATAAAACGATATATAATATATAAAGTATAATTTTTTTCGTATTGTTTGAATCATTTTTTTTATGTTAAATAATAATTTACTATATACTATATATAATATACTATATAATATATATATATAATATAATGTACTATATTCTGAATTTATATTGAATTTATATTGATTGAAGATTGATATTCATTCATGCGGATATTTTAAAATTGTGTATAATTAAATAATAATGCTATTATATGATAATTAATAATAATTGAAAATTCTAAATATTTCTAAATTTTTGAATACTTTTTAAAATATACATAATTTTATATATTATGTATAATAATATAAAATTATTCTATTTCATTTATAAATAGAGATTAATAAGATTTATTAAATCTTTCTGTAATGTTACATAGTGAAATATTATAATTTAAAATATATTGTTATAATTCAAAAATCGCCATTTTAAAAATATAAACATTTATAAAACTAGAAAAATTATTTGAATTTTTTATATAATGAAATATATTTTAAAATTTAATTGAAAATATGAAATGACATATGTATAAATTACGAAATAATATATTTGGATATCACTGGAATTTTAATTCTCTTAAAAAAATTATATTGTTTATTATATATTATATATTATATATTATTATATATCATATATTAAAAGTAATATCTTATTTATAAAATACATATTTTTTTATTATTTTTTTTAGTAACAAAAAAAAATTAAAAAGTAACCAAGTAAAATTCAATTAATTTATTGAATTTATGTATTTATTAAATTCTATTCTTGATTTATTAAAATTATATAAATTCGAATTTCAAATAATATGTTTACTGTCTTAAAATACTTAAACTTTCTCTTACGCCGTGAATTCAAGTTAACACTCTTCTCGAGTTTGTTTTTGAGCTGACTAGGGTTAAACTTCGTAATATATAATAGAATTATATCCGATTGATATCCATCCGAACTTCTAAATCTCAAATACAATATCGATTTAAATTGTGAACATAATAATATCGATATCGCAATGAATCTATAAAACAAAAAAAACTATTAAAAGCTAAATTAGAAACCACTTTTTGTAATAATTATAAATATATAAAGTTTTATTATTTAACATACTATTATGTTATTATATATTATAACATTATATTATTTAACATAATATAAATAATCTTGAAAAAAGAGAAGTAAATGACTTTCATATTCTTTTGAAAACAATTAGAAAGAACAATTTGAAAGAATTGTTTAAAAAATAAATATTAAATAAAATTGACTGATTAATAAGTTAACAAAATTAAAATGAAAAAATAATATTAATAGAATTATAAATTATTGCGTTTTGTTATCTCTCATATTCATACATATATTGATATGATTGTAGTCTGCGACAAGGCAACACTGCAACCGATCTTTCGAGATTGCCACTGAAAAGACGTTCGAGATGACCATGATTGCCTGTAACATACACATGCATATCAATCTAAACATCCGTGACACACAACGAGGACTCGAAGAGCAACCTCGTATTCATTAGTTTACAAATATAGAAATAATGCGTGAACTGACCCATTATCATTTATATATACATATATATATATATATTTATGTATATGCTAGCATATTTGATGAGTACACGCTCGAACAACTTAACACGAAATCCCGTTTCAACATCCCCCTATCTTCGAATCTATCGAAGAATACATATTAACAGAATGTGCGTTTTTTAAAAATAAGGAAATTATTAGCAAAAATTTTTTAAAATTATTTATTTTACTTAAAAAAAATAATATTTAATATTTAAATTAAATTTTTTAGATTTTATGAAATAAATTCAAGGATAAAAATTTATAAAATAAATAAATAAAACAAATAATAAAAATAACAAAAACAAAGCAACAATAAAAAAAATATTTTATTAATATTATTTACAATGTTGATTTTTCACAGATCAAGCTCAAAACAATACATAAGATTCTTCGCAAATTGTTTAACTAATTTTAATTTGTTCGATTAATCGATCTTCTTCGTAACAAGATCGCGTTAAACATCCCATTCGAAGCAATCGACTATCCGTGCTAATCGACACGGCATAGAATAGTATATATGTACGATATATATACCACTATCGATAGAAGCATGCATACCCGTGCTACATAAGTTCCGGGCGGTGTACGTAGAAATGCCACATGCACCTCGGTTTCGAAGGGGTCTGCGTGCGTCCCGGTAGCGACAACAACAGCGCGGGAGCAGCCGAGAACGGAAGACGGAGGGCGCTAGTAAAGAAAGAGAGAATGCACAATAGAAACAAAGAGAAAGAGAGAAACAAGAGCAAAAGAGAAGAAGAAACAAACAGACGTATATACTCGTTTCTCAGATCGAGCAGTATGCACGAGAACAAGAGAAGAGGACAGCAGTGATGTTACAGGGAGACCTTTTCCCTCTATCGCATGACTCCACCCACACGCTGCCACCGTCGTCGTCGAGGCGCACAATCTGGCAACAGTGGCTCGCTATAACCGATATTGTGGCCGTGGATTGAATGGAGGGGAACTAGCTCAGGTCAAACCTCCCCACCGGCACGACAACCCCTCGGTCGGAAGAGCGACCCCTCGCCACTGTTCACTCTCCATCATTTCTCACCCCACCCAACCCTTTGTATCCTTCTCGATTGCTATCCATCTGCCTTCTTCCTTCCTTTTCTTCCCCCACCCGATTGAACTGCATCTTCTCCCCTTTCCTCTGTCCCCGCAGCTTCTATGCTTGTCCTTCGTACTCGGTCGTATCCCCACCAACTATACCTTCGACTGTCTGCGCTCTATGGAGTGGCACATGCGTGTGCCGCAGTGTTCGTACGCTGTGCGTTGGGTGCGACTGTGGCGTGTTCCTACTAGATGGCGTTCGTGTACGCCTGCGCCTGTATACGTGCGCGCGTATAACTACTCCCACCGTTTCATCCAACCTCACCACTACCATTAGTACCTTCATCGTAGCGTAGCTTTAATACCAATACTAACAACGAACAGTACTACTACTGTAATATCATCGTGCCTGCTGTCTTGTACTCTCTACCGTCAATGTGCGTTACCACGCACACGAAGAAATATTCATATGTGTGATACAAGATCGTACGCGGATCGACGGACAGGGACACACACCGTGAATATACAGAGACATAGATACACAACGGACCGATAGAGAGCGTGCGAAAAGAGTGAGTGAGATAGATTGTTATAAGCGAGCAAGAGAGACGGAAGAAGAGAGAGCAAGTAAGACCAATGTTGGCCCCAACAGCCTCTCACTAGACAGTATTACTTTCAACCGTTTAGCGGGGCCAATGCTACCCGGCGCGGAGTAGTCAGTCAGCCGAGCAGTCAGAGTCAGCCGTCCGCGAATACCGAGAGGACGCTCTCTCTTCGTTCATAAGTATCATCGTCAACGATCATCCACGCGACGATTTTTTTAAATGTGTCATCATCTCGAAGCTTCCGTTGCTGCTGCTGTTCCTGTCGCCATTGTTACTATCATTATTAATGTCGTCATGAAAATTTTGCTAATAGTTCGTCGTTGCCATTGTACCATCAGTACATCTGTGATAGACTGTGAAACGTACGAATAGCATAATCAGTGAATATAAATAAAGTTTTTAGAAGTGTGTGAGAGAAAAAGAAAACAAAACCGCAAGCAAATAAACTTTGTAGGACAAAAAGAAAAAAACAGAAATAAGGAAAAAAGTATATAACTTTTGTGTGTGTTATATAATTGTCAACATTTATTTAGAATTAACGTGATATCGAAAACAATTTCAAGAGACGCTGTTCAATAAAGTTGTGCTGTTGTTGCCACAAGGACACAACACCGGTGCCGACCACGAGCAGTGGAGTTTTACCCTCTCTCACATCCGAGTCGCACGCGCGTGCAACACTCTCTGGTGGGTTCTGCACGTTCAGCTTGAATCGTGAAGCGTGTTCTCGCTTGTTTTGTCGTTGTTATGACGAGGTGATGAATAGACGAAAGCGTTGCAGTGTCGAGCAGCGTAGTGATCGTGCTCGTCGTCCTGATGGACGATGACAATAAATATAGACAGTTTTCGTGGACGCAGAGAAATGTGCTTAATGTTGTGATTTAGTGTTTTCTTTATAATATTTAATTTACCTCGAAAAGGATTGGATTATACCATAAATAAGGTGTATCAACTAAGGATAATGCATCTCTGTATCATCTTTTAGGTAAGTGCAAATGTATTATTATAAATATATGCAAGTGATTATTTATTCTCAAAATGATCTTAAAATTATCCATAAAATGATATAATAAATTCAGGATTATTTATATATTTTTCAATATATTTTTATTTAAATTTTATAATGTATTTAATTTTCACGTTTGTTTATAATTTGTGAAATTTTAATTTGAAAATTATTATTTATAATAAAGATTAGAAATTGATATTTATCATATATATCAATGATAAATCATTAATCAAATTGATATTTTTTCGTTTAATAACATAACATATATTTATATACATTTTAAACTTTTGAAATGATATCTGAGAAAGAAATAAAAGATCAAGAATGAATTAAGTTCGCAATCTCTTGACTTGTCATTTGCTCATTATATTGCAGTAGTAGATATTCTAACCGGTGAGGCGCTTTCACAACGGGTGATTGTTCTAAAGATGTGTCACTCTATCTTACTCGTTTCTCGAGCCGATCCCGGTTACTATGAGAGAAAGAGTAAGCAAACAACAAGAGGGAAAGAACGATAAAATGATTTCGCATAGGAGGCACGAAAAGAGGCAGAAAGTCACGTCGACTATAATCTTTGATTGTCTAGAGAGCTATAACGCATTATATTCGTATTAACACCTTCAGTAACTACATATAGTATAGTATGATATGCTATTGAATAAGCTTATGACTAACTAGAAACTTATATATATACTTTGATATTTACAATGAATATGATTAGATATTTTTATAAAAATAAAATCCGTTATATATTACATTTCCTAAGAACAAATAAAAGATATTTATTTAGGAAACATATAATATTTATTGTATAGTTATATTATATTTCTGATTATTTCGTATATTTTTATCGATAAGTAACGACTTATTAGAAGCATCCATGATTGTTGTAAAAATTCAATTTTTATAGTTCATTCATTATTATTAAAAAAACTCAAATATTTGTTTCTATTTAATTAATATATAATATAATAATCATTATTGATTAATAATATCAATAATCGTAATTAATTATAAAAATATTATCATTTAATCATATAATTCGCGAATATGTGAAAGAATAAGCAATTAAAATCGCACAAACGAACTGTTCTTTTTCGATTATTCATTATCTTGCTTGCGGTGATGATAATGTGGTATGACATTGTCAGTGACGTTGTTATCAGTCGATGTAAAAGAAAAAAAAAGAAAAAAGAAAAGAGAATAAAGAACAAAAAATAATGTAATAAAATGAAAAAATAAATTTGTCAGATTTTTATAATTGAACGAAATTATATGTCTTACTTTGTGTATAGTATGCAAGATAATGACAGCTGTGAAAGAAATAAATGAGAAAAAAATGAAAACATAAATCGGAAATTTTTCAAAGCAAAATTAGCTAATTCTCTAATTAGATGAATGAATGAACATTTATTCTCATTTTATGTGATAATAAGTAAAAAATGAATAAAATAGAATAAAATTTTATCGTTAAATTTTATTTTTATGAAAATCGAAATTGAACATAGACTGTCAAGAAATCATCTAATCAATGAATTTTCAAATTCAATATCTTTGTAAATTAATTTCATTTTAATTTTTAAGTAATTAATATGAAAAAAATTCATTTTATATTTTTTGCTTATTTTGATATATAAAACTATTTATATTTTCAATATTATATTTCATTCATTTATATTTAATCAGAAAATAATTTTAATTTATATTTGAAAATTTTTTGAACCCGTTGTGAACTTTTTGATTTACTTGAAAACGAAATTTCAAATAAATTTTATTCTATATTTTGAATTTTTTTTATATAGAATTATTATTCCCTTCATTCAATTCATCATCTGTGGAACACTGTATACGATTCTTGATGTATACTGAGATAATCTTAGCGATATTAAACACGCAATAGACTTTGGTATGTTATCTAATCATTTATCATCAATAGTCAACGCTAAGTTATCTTATATTATCAAGAATAGCTTGCCGAAATTGTGCTCTCACATACGTATATCGCATTCAAGAATGCCAGTCGCTAGTAATATAATCGATAAAGGCATATAGTTCTCTGTATACGATAACCAGTCACTTCAACAAATCTAAAAACTATGTCAGGATCCCTTGACATTTATGTGCCGTTGCTTCGTGATTGCAATCTTATGACATCCCATTTTACTAAGAACTTTTACTTTCTTTTTTATTTGTTATTTCAAAATAGATTTAATTTTTTTATCTTGTTTTTGTTTTTTTTTGTATTATTAATATTTTATGTTAATGATTCATAATAACGAATTTAGATCATTATTATTGATTGCGTTGTATATAGAAATATTATTATCATGATTAATAATAAATAATAATAAAAATATATTATATTATTTATTAATTATTTTAGTAGATATTTTTTTATTTAATTGTATAAACTTTTATTATTACTATATAGTTAAAGTATACTATATTGATAATTGCACTATTTCATGTACATTCAACTACGAACGTTGAGCTTTCACCTAATATCGTAGACTTTTGGGGGAGGGGAGAATTACTTATCGAATGTGCTCTATGCGTGAGAACATGTACGTGCATTGAACACACTCTGACCATATGCAGAGACGCGGTTGTTCGCTACTCACTTTTTTTTTCTCTCTCTCATATTATTATGTCTCTATAGTGCAAACATAAGAAGTCAGTTTCGTTGAAAGCCTTCTAATCTCGATACAGGCACCGTTGCGGTGGCACAATATCAGAAATAGGTTTGTTAAAATAAGCGTACACTCGATGGCGCATACCGTGCTTCTCAGGGACGTATTACCGTGAGGGGAATTACTCGGTGAATTATTGGTGGGGATATAGTAGAGAAGAATGTTTTGTCATATGCAAAATCATATTTTGTGCTATACACATTTTGCTTTTATCCATAAGTAAATAAAATCGATTTATCAATTCATATCTTGTGTATAATTTTATAGACTTTTTGCATGACATGTGCAATCACTTTATTTTCTTTTCAGTATTTCTATTCATTGACATTAAATTTTATTGTAATTAATTATTAAATAATATAGAAAATTTTTATGCCGTAATTTTTTGATATTTGCACGGCTACTAAAATTCCACAGAAAATTTTTTGTAATTCTCTATGAAAACATTATTATATGAAATATGATTGATTTTAGAAAAATTCTTATCGTTTCAACAAAAGAAATCGCCATTATTTATTAAATTGGTAAATATTAATAAGTCAAGAATATCATCATTTTTGATTGCATATTCTTACGAAGCGGGGATATTTATTTGTTAAGAACGAATAATAAATATCTCGAAACTGTCAAAGAATTATGTCAGAAAAATAGTATATTATAAATTCATTTTGATTATCATCTAAAAAATTGTAGACATATCATAATTTCTATTTCTTATAATTTCTATCAATAATAATACTTCGTGTATATTCATATTCCTTTTTTTCCTTTGAATATTTTTAATCCAAAAGAAAAAAAATTTCGAAAATTATTAAAAACCATATTGTTACTATATTAAGCAATTTATACTATATATTGCAATTTATTTTGATATAAGTTTCAAAGTTTAAGTGATCAAGCCCCCTATCAAACGATTCGTGAACATTCGAGAACTTCCGTTGAAATCAATAGGCAAAGAAAACATTTGTAAAAGAACGAGTCGAACCGTGTGATCAAATCCTTCGAAGTCGGTCGCGTATATACATATATACCGCTTGCGTAAATGATTGATTTACATGCGACGGAATCCGCTCAGCTGGATTATGAAACGTTTGTTTTGCCGGCGGGAAGCGGTCGCTCGTGACGCTCGCTCACTCCAACGACAATGGGGCAGCCTTCGAACATTATGTCCCCGCACGCGCGTTCAAGGTGAGGCATAATTAAATTTTCATAATTGTCCGTTGTATAATGAGCTCTTAAGACTTTTAACGTGTATAGTACACGAATTAAAAAGTTTGAACACGTTGAATGCATTCGAATCGCTCGCACTATGTCATGATGTGATTGTAATTATTAAGATTTTCCAGAAATTCATTATCATTGTTGCAAATCTATTTTTATCTAATTGATTTCTATTTTTGAGAGACAAATATTTCAAACAATCGAAGAAATGAATAATGAATGTTAAACAATTTAAAATTTCATTATTCATTATTTTGAAGAAATTATCTTTTAAATTTATAATAATGAAAAATAAACTTCATAGGAATATTTCTGAATCGTGTATCTTTTTTGTAGTTTATTTAAAAAATAGTAATTAAAATGATAAAAATTTATGATTAACTATCGAAACAACACAATGATATTAATTTCTTTTCCTTTGATTATCAATTGTATATAGAAATGATCGATTCGTATGCGTCGATATTAGAAGTACTAAATCTCCTAATTCTGTTCCATATACTCATGATAAACAGCAAGCAAGAATGTCACGATTTCTATATATAGACAATACATATGTTTTAGTCAATTAGAGAAAATTATTTGGCAATTGTATTATTGCTAGTTATTAAACATTAAAAATGAATATATAGATGCATATAATATAATTATAATTATACATGTATATTATTATCGTTATGTGTGTGTGTGTGTGTATTGGATAATGATAATAATATAATGATATATGAGACAATTCAGAAATAAAATAATTTATTAGAAATATTTTTATGTATTTTAGTAATATATTTTATTCATTAAAATTTAAATTAAAATTGCTTCATTTTTCAATTATGTATTATAACTCATAATATAATTGTTATAATCTATATTTAATTCTCTCTATTGAATAAAAAAATAAAAAATATAAATAATTATTTCCAATATTTAACGCAATATTCAATTCAAATATAAAAGATGCCAATTCTTTTCTTATATTTCAATTTAATCAAAAATTAATTATATATTTATATAGTAGGTCAATAAAATCGCATTCCATCTTATCCAGTAATTATTAGTAAACTATTCATATTATAATTCATTCATACTATAGACGTTAATTAATTGTTCCTGTATGAATCGCTACATTATAAAAGACTATAGCTGAAAATAAAAAATATAATTCATTTCATGATCTCGTGATAATCATAAAAAAATCGTATATCGAATTTACGTTGGAAAGATTAATCGTTATCATAGTGATAATGCGTTTTATTTTATGATTTATTAGGATGTTCAAAAAACGCGTTGTATATATTAAGAAAATATATTAAGAAGAAAAAAAATTAATAATTGGATTCAAAAATTTTAGTATAAAAGAATTTTAATAAAATAATCATAACTACAAAAATGGTTAATTAGCCGAAAATAATTACGCATGACAAGGTCGTAACTCACTTTATCCAAGAAAACATACTGATATCAGTTGTCATAATTTCAGTTTATTCTTTCTAATTATCATTTATTGTTGACAATTCGTGCGTTAATAAACTGTGCATATGCGCGGAATCACGATTTGAAATATATAAGATGGAATTAATAGAATTTATAGAATAGAAACTAAATTAATAAACTTCATGACTTAGAAAACTTCTTAATTTTAATATTGCAAAATATGTTTATTTTTTTTTAAAATTAAGTTATTAAAATAAGATGAAGATGAAATTTGAAAATTTTAAAATCTTTTATATATATTTTATATATAATGAATAAATATATATGTAATTATATATATATATATATAGTTAAAATTAAATAAAATTAAATATTAAGAAATGATTTTTAACAGAAAATTAAAAAATAATTACCTCGTTAGAAATTTAAATATTGTAAATGTTTATTTTTTAATTGCAATAATCTTTTTTATATGATTTTGAAATTAAAAGGAAAGAAAAATAGAAAATATTTATAAAACAAAATTTATAAAGATAATTAAGCTTGTCAAATTTGAACCAAATTAGGATTATTAATGAAATATAAATTTGATATTTTAGAATATTTTGCTTTTTAACTTGATGGTCTAACATTTTTATTTATATCTAATCTTTATTTTCCTTGTATGTCGCGAAGATATATAATTATCTCGCTACTTTTGTCTGGAAGAAGAGCTTAAGAAAGTACTTTGTAATCCAGAATAATTAATATGACGAGTGGAAACATAGTATCTTTCGTAATATAATTTAAGCATTCATTTCCGTGCACGTGCGAGTAGATTCGCGATTATTTAAAATTAACAAGCT